TCCCTTACTGGCAGGGACTCTGAGAAGTTAGGAGGTAGTGCTTTTAACCCAGTGCCTGGCACTCAGTATGCACTCCATTAAGCAGCTGTTGTCATTTGTTGGGCTACATGTGGCAGTCTCCCAGTGAACCCATTCTACATTAGCTGGTTCTGTCTCCCATGGACAATCTCTGTCTCTGCTCAGTCGTACCCTGTGTCAGGGTCATTTCAAGAGCTTCATGTGATGCATTTTGGAAACCTTCCTGCTTCAATAGTCAGGCTTGGAATCCATCTGATACCATAATTTAGTTAGGCCCAGAATAATTGCCCTGTACTTCAAGGTTATGAAACATGTTACTATGACTAGACCAGTAAGGACGTAAGTGTTCTGGCTTGTACTGGCTTTTATTGGCCCATTTGCTTCTCAGGTAAAATGAGGAGAAAAATAAATCATTATCCCTTAACGGCTCATTCGATACTGCCTGACCCTCAAAGTAGGACAGGTACATGAAGCTCAACATCCCACTTTCCTTTTTATGAACTGGTGTGTACAGTGTGTGGCCGTAAGCAGTTTTCTCCTTCTTTTCCTGCCGCTGGCTTTTTTTTTTCTTTTTAGTTACAAACACGTTCCTTGTCTATTCACATCAGTTTCCCCTCTGTGATTTCCATAGAGAATTGTGTTGTCAACTCTACTCAACAGCTCCAACCCCAGGGCTCCTAAAAAAGTGCAGGCCTAATTGCTACCCTTCAAAAATTAAGCCTTGAAGACAAAGGGAATATCTTTGTTGGGTTTTGGTTTTGGTTTTTTTTTTCCGAATCAAAGTGTTCTTGGGGTTTTCTGAGTTGATTGATAGAAAGATGATAGGTAGACAGACAGAAGAGCCAACTTTTTATTTGTGAAGCTGTCTGAAACATTGAATTTCTCTTACTTCTCTGGGTAGAGTCACTTCACGATGACATTTGCAAAACATTGATGAGGATGCCTTGGCAGTGTACCCAGCTTTTCCTGGTTCGTCTTTAGTAATCACAGTACAAATGTGATGACCAAACCACTTAGCCCTCACAAGATGTCATGAGGAAGGATGGCTGCACGTCTTTCTCTCGTGTTGCTGTAGTCACCTTTCTGAGGTGCAGGAATGGTGTTGGCTGCTGCAGGATGTGCACTGCGTTGCTCTGTTCTGAGAAGTTTAAAGCAAGGTCATGTGTATGTTGGCAGGTTGCTGAGCTGCAGTGAACAGCTTCACAAGAGCAGGATGGTCATACAGACAGAATAGGGTGACTCTAAATAGTTTCACCTCCAACAGTTCTAGACATTTAAGTAAACAACCATGTAATTATTGAAATATTTAAAATCTTAAGAGGAAGAAAATGGTGTAATAAGTTCTTGATTGAAAGACATGCTTAAAGACTTTCCAACAGATGTGCTTGGCATCAGGCTGGCGCCTAGGGCAAGTGTGTACCCTGCTGTACAGTCAGGCAATGTCCACTTACAGAGCAGCCTGCATCTGGAGGCTGTAGTGAGAACGTGTTATTTTAGTGAGCATCATAGACCCAGCATCCACATCACCAACGGCGCAGCTGGACAACCAGAGCCTCTGCTTTCATCCATTTAGGTTATTATAAAGAAGAAAATTGTTCTTTGAACATTAGTTCATCGCTACACACAAAGGTATAGCAGTGAGAGCCTCTTTCCATGTTTCTCAGATACTTTGTAAGATGGTGCTGTTTAAAAACCTGAATTTGACGCCGGGCATGGTGGCGCACACCTTTAATCCCAGCACTTGGGAGGCAGAAGCAGGTGGATCTCTGTGAGTTCAAGGCCAGCCTGGTCTACATAGTGAGTTCCAGGACAGCGGGGGCTACAGGGAGACCCTGTCTCAAAAAGACAAAACAAACAAACAGACAAACAAAAACAAACAAAAAACCCTGAATTTGAAAGAGGATAGAAGATTTTAATCTAGGTGAAAATGAAAGGACTGTGTCTCTGTTGCTCTCAGTCATACCAGTCAAGTTCATGGGTTCCACATAGGTTGAGATCCATGCCAACCTATTCCCCACCCCATGTAAGGTGCTATGCGCATACCTGTCTTTAGACCTCAACCATCCCGGGTCACTGCTGACTGCAGCCTGAACGCTGCCATGTGACAGCCCTCTGCACCTCACATTGGCCCACAATGTTCCCTACTACTCTGGCTCAGAGCCCTAGATTGTCCTGAGGCTTCCTCCAGCCTCACACTGCCGCTACAGGCCACTTCATAGACAACAGACACTTGTAGGTTCCCACTTTGTATCTTACGCTGTCCTTTTCTTTAAAAGGCACATATTTGAAGCTAAATTTTCTTCTTTATGGAGAAAAATTTTAGACAGTTAAATGCACAAATCTCCAGTGTTCTATTCAGTGATTTAACTCATGCATACACCTGTGTAACTCAGATTCCTACCTAGATATAAAACAGTACTATCAATCTAGAATGTTCCTTCCTGCCCTTTTCTGTAGTTCACCCCTAAGGCAACCATACCATTCTGAGTTCTTAACCAGAGATGAGTGTGGCCTGTTTTGGACTTCATATAAACAGAATTCAGCAGTGTATCTTTTGTGTGAGACATCTTTCACTCTGTGTGGATGACTGAAACCCATCAAAGTTTCTATAGGTCTGAGCAGTCTTTCTTTTTGATGCTGAGTGATATTCCAATCTCAGATCATAGCAGCTTATTTACGATATCCTGTTGGTGCCCATGTGTATTGCTTCCCATGTTAAGTTACAGGGGTCCTTTCTTTCTTTTGAGCATATGTGTGTGTGGTGTGTGTGCATATGTGTATGTATGTTTGTATCTATATGTACATGCATGTAGAGGTTGACATTAGATGTATTCCATAATCTCTCTCCACTTTATTTAGTGAGGCAGGGTCTCTCTGATCCTGCTGTCACTGGTTCAGCTAGTCAGTCTTGCTAGCCAGCCTGCCTCGGAGAGCCCCATGCCCACGTCACTGCTGGGATCACAGGAAGGCCACCATGCCCACCAGCTTTATTCTGGTGGGATCTGAACTCTGTTCTCCACACTTGCACAGCAAGTGCTTTACCCACTGAGGCATCTCCCCAACCCATGGGGTCCTTTCTCTGTTGGCATGATGTCATTTTCTCTGGGTATATGTGTAGGGATAGCATTATTAGGCATATGTTTATCTTTGTTAATAAACTGCTTTTCTGCTTCACCAAAGTAGCTACCTTATTTTACTCTTTCACTACAAGTGTATGACAGACAGGATTGTCAGCATTTGGTGGTGCCTAGTCCTTTGAGTTTTAGCTACTCTGGTGGCTGTGCATGGCACCTCCCTGTGCTTTTCAGCTTTCATTTTCTAGTAGCCAGTGATACTGAGAATCTTCTTGGTGCCCAGTACTTGTGTTTATTAAAATCTTTTGTAAAAGTCTGACATCATGAAGACCGCACTCCTGTCCTCTGAGAATGTTTTACAATCTCTGATAGTTTGGAGTTTTTTGTGTGTTTTGGAACTGGCTGAGATTCCATATGTGTTTTTGAATCGCTTCCCCTTATTTACCTGCTTATGTTCTTAGTAGTTTCTTTTGGGGTTTGTTGTTGGTGTTGCTGCTGCTGCTGTTGTTGTTAGGAGGGGTTGTTTTGTTTTGTTTTGTTGGTCTTTTTGAGAAAGGATCTACCTGTAGCCCCAGCAGGCCTGTAACTCACCATGTAGAGCAGGCTGGCCTCGATCTCACAATGATCCATCTGCCTCTGCATCTTCCTCTGCTTCCTGAGTGCTGGGATTAAAAGCCTGTGCCACCACCCCCAGCTTTTTTTGTTATTTTTGTTTTGTTTTTTTGAGACAGTCTATATCCCAGGCCAGCCTTGAACTTGCGCAATCCTCCTGCACCTGTCTCATGAGTGCTGGAATTATAGATGTGAGCTACTGCACCAAGATAGTAATTGTCTTAAATAATAGACGTTTCTAATTTGAATGAAATCTAATATATAAACTTTTCTTGGCTTTCTTTCTCCTAAAAAAGCTTTGCATGCCACGGAAGCATTCTATGACACTTCTTTGACTTCCTAATTCTGATCTGCAGTTAGGGTGTAACCATGACATATTAGTTCTGATAGATGGTATGGGAGTGTCACAGTTTGTTTTTCTCCATGTGGACACCGGCTTTGCACTGGTGGCTCTGGGGATCCTATCCTTCACGCCTGGAGACTGTGCTGTGGCTGGCTCCTCCTGTGCGTGTGTCCTCACCAGGCCCTTCACACACAGCATGTGTTTGATGCCTGTCCACTGGGCTGCATAGAGGACAGATTCTGGAGGTGTCTTGAAGCTTTGGTTCTGAGGAGGTTTTGTATATCCATCCCCTGAAGCTAATGCTAGCATATACGTGAAAGCATGTTCTCCCCAGAGCATTACCTACCTGCCAGGAACCTGGGTTAAGCAACAAGGCTGATTGCTTGAGTCTTGGCTTCTTTGAAGTAAAGAATGGCAATAAATCCACTTTTTATTGACTTCTTAATATATGTTAAACACCGTGCGGTCCACTGCCTACTTTATCTTTGTTGTAACCTTGCATATCAGATGAAGAAATTCACATCCCAGAGCTTTCAGACAGTAGTTGCAAAGCTGGCATTGCTCTGAGAGACCTGGAGGGATTGAATATAAGATTTTTGTAAAAGAATTAACAAACCATTGGGTTTGAGATGTATAGAATGTGCTTAAAACTCAATAAGTAATTAGACTTAAATTCTAAATTATCCTGGTGAAAGATAACTTGAAAAATTCAGTCTCAGAATTCCCAGTGGATAGTAATAGCTACAGGAACAAAAATTCTTGGGAAATACATTTGGGCCTAAATCTGTAAGCCAGGTGTTGCTTTAGAGTCATGAACAGCTTCAGAAAGCCTGCTGTCTATGACTCTGGGTTTTCATGTTTGGGTTAGAGAGCAAACTCTGTATCAGAAAGCCAGTGTCCCCTGCTGTCCCTGCTGTCTCTTGGTGACATGAGCCTCTCTGCTTGGTTTGCAGGCATGCTGCAGAAGTGTCCCTCCATTGATGACTTTGTGGATGCCCTTGTTTCCGACTTGAATCTGGACTTTGAGACTTTCCTCATGGATTCTGAATAGTGGAAGCTCCCTGAATCTTTCAAACCAAGTCGTGCAAATAAGAAGTGTGTTAACAGGTCTTACAGCTAGCTGTGAAAGCTCAATTCTGATTCCAGCATTCATGTACAGAATAATTTCTGACAAGCCTTAAACTGACAACTTGGAATAAATAATGTGTTTGACTTATACTGGCTTGTCACCTGCTTGGCAGATTTTTCAGCATATGGGAATTTATCAGCAAACTAGGCTGCCATAGGTGGCCACTAAGTAGAGTACAAGCATTCTTCAATGTGAGCACTTTCTGTTGGTTCTTGTTTCTGTCGATCTTTAATTGGATGCATTAGAAGCTCTGTTAAAAGCAAAATTGGTTCAGTTTAGGCCAATTTGAAGCAGTCCTCAGAAAGGTCACATCCGTGGGTTTGTTGTTGTTTTTTAAGGAAGCCTTCCATTCTTAAGACCACTATCCCCTGAGTTGTCAGCTATGCAACCAAGAAACCAAACCCTAAAGTGTTTATACTGATGTGGGTGTTTGGTGTTTAGGCTCTACCCCGATAGATGCAGAGCAGGGGGGATTGAACTCTGGCTTCGCTCACTTGACCTGAAGATCGTGAAGACCGTGAAGGGTACGAAGGTCAAGCAATGGTACATGAGGAAACTGGGATCCAAACCTTGTCTTTACCCAGGACCCACAGTTTTCTTTTGGTGTGTACTGAGCTACTACACACTAGTTGATCTGAGGAAAGAATCTTTTAATGGGTTTTTTCCCACCATCAAAATCAAGGAGTTAATTATAGCTTTCACTTTAAAATCATGTCTGGTAGCAACCTCCCCCTGCTTCTCACTAAATGACCAGTGGCAAAGCAGAAAGAAAAGATTCAGTCTTCCAAACTGGGACATGTTCACCCTATTCAGACTCTAGGAAGGTATTTTATAACCTCATCAACAGATAGAGACATATCCTCAGTGAACTGCCATGCTGGACCCCGTATGAAGGTAATAACCCTTCCCTTCACACCTGCCCATAAATACACATTCAGATCTGTGCCAAGGGGAACAGCTGGAGTGGGCCGTCTTCCCCACAGCCGCAGTGCTGAAGTTACCCTTCATCTGCATCTCATGGTGTGAGTCCCTCTACATACCAATACTTAGCAAGCACCTGGGAGCCTGTGTGGGAATCCGCTGGATGCCCAAAGCAGTCAGGGCAGGAAGATAAGGGTTGGGTGTTGCTGGCGATGGAAAAGGCCCCAGTGCCAGTGCCTGGGAGGAATGGAGCCAAATCCCACCCTGTTTATTCTCCCTATCTGATCCGAGGAAGGAAAGCTCTTATCCTTGCAGACTTGCACTAACAGGTACTGTTCTGGGAAATGGACTGGGAGCCATCAAGCTGCCAGTCAGCCGCAGAGCCATCTGAAGAGGCTCTGTGACAGCTCCCAGGTATCCCCAGGGTGCCCAGCCCCCGTGTCTTCATCATTCCTGCTTTCAGCAGAAATGTAGACACTGTGTGGAGCCTATTGCAAATATTCTTCAGAAAAAGAGCCAGAAGCCTCGATGGAAGATGCTAGACTGCCACAACTCAAAAAGTTAAGTTTTTAAAGCTCATTGAAAACCTCTCTGGTGTTCTTAAAACTTGAGAAAACACATCTTTAAAATTTATGTATTTATTTTTATTTTATGTGTATGAGTGCTTTGCTTGCTTGTATATAAGTACACCTGTGTTGTGCAATGCCCACAGAGGCCAGAAGATGATATCAGATCCCCTGAAACTGGAATTATGGATGCCATGTGGGTGCTGGAAACCAAACCAGGTCCTCTACAGGAGCAACCCAGAGCTCTTAACTGCTGAGCCATCCCTCCAGTCCTAGAACACATTTTTATTTTTTTTAAGGCAAGCTAAGCAAAAAGGGAAGATCAGTAGGCTAAGAAGGTGTAGCTAATACCACTGCACATGGTTGGTTGGTTGGTTTTTTAAATTTTTTTATTTTTAGTTTTAATTATTTAACAACCACATGATTAGAAGAAGCATTTCATTACAGCATTAACATATTCAATAACAATTTCCAGAGCAAAGATGCAGCTCTTTCATAATTGGCTGTAAATTTTTAGGTTCACAGTTGAATTAATATAGTTATATAATATTGAACTCAATATAAACCCTATAAGACATAAAATTGAATGAATTTTTAACCTTTAAAAAAGATCTCCATTGCATTTTAAAATACTTTCCCTGGTATCCCAACTATGAGACACTTAATTTAGAATCTTGGGGAAAAAATAATGACCAATTAAGCTACTGTTAGAAACAGTTCAACTGAAGCATTTGATGTCTTTGGAACCAAATAAGTAGATATATACACAGCATTATCAAGAGCAAAAAGGGGTACTCTAAAGAAAGCATATCTTTTAGAACCTCCTGGACCTCCTCCTAATTCTCCTGCCTTCCATGGAGCTCCCTTTCCTGGGACAAAAGTGGAAGAAACTAACTTAGAAAAGTAGTGTACCTGGCTCTGGCAGCTGCAGAGGCTAAGACCAGCTTTTTCTGCCCTCTTTCTCCAAGCCCGTTTTTCTCTAAAATAGATTATACTTTCCCTCCTTGAAACTCCTTGCTTTCTGCTTCTTTTGTATCATCATGTTGCGTTTGAACACATTTTCCAGGTAAATGGGATGGAGAGGTTAAAAAGAATGAGAATTCTGATAATCATCTTTATTCTAAGTTCTGTCAGGTGTTACTGGTTTCTGTGTTTTGTATGTTTTGAATTATGGGTACCTAATCCAAAATTACAGGTAGTAAATTATGTGACTTTTCTAATGCAGGCAGCCAGACTGTTAGCCCTCTTTAAAGGAGGAATTCATGCTTACTTACAAATTATAAATATTTTTAAATGTGAAAGGGAAACAAGATCATTAGATGATGGCTGATTTCTGTAATACATGCAAGGCAAATATTTAGATATATAAAAGATGAAACTTAGAGATGATATTTATAATCTTAAATTTTCTCTTAAAAGTTTATTGGACCCTCTACTTAAATCGAGGCAATTGTTAACCCAGTCTTGCTAACTATTAGAAGGATTGGCTTAAAGAATAAAATATATGTCTGACCAAGGTTTATTTAGGAGCATTTAGTTTTAACTGAATATTACCCAATACTTAAAATATGAGACTTATATAACTGATCTTCTAGGTGTTCAGTAATTATACCTGGAGTTCATTCTCCTGTCATAGTCCCTCAAAACTTTTATATTATTATTGTTATTTTTAAAATTTGCTTTTTTAAAGATTTGCCGTTTTGTGTCTACTTTCAATAATTATGCACCTATGTCTCATTTTTAAATAAAAAATTCTTCCTCAAGACATAATGATCACTGGTGTAGAGGCTGTGATTTCAACAGATGGCCAGACAGTGCGTGTTCTGGCCTCCCTCTGGCACAGGGGTTGAGAACCCAGAGAGTACCTAGATCCTGCCTCCATGTGGTGATGAGCTTCCCCTAATCTCGCAGTACCTAGCCCCCTAACTGGGATTATGTGAGGCTCCTCCCAAGGCCTCTGGGCAGACCTCTGCCCTTTGGTAGGATAAGGCTGAGATCTTAGCAGGCAGCCTGAGAGGGTCTGTTCTGACCTCCATCGGTGTAGCGGCTGAGATCTCAGCAGACCACCAGAGAGTGTCTTTTTGGCCTTCCTCTGGCGTAGGGGCTGAGACCTCAACAGACCACCTGAGAGTCCCAAAATCGCTCCCCCCCCCCAGGAATTTCCCAAATTTTGCTCTGAGTTCCCACTAGTAGGGGTTCAAAGCTTAGAAAGAAGCCTGAGTGTAGCTGACTGGAACCTGACTTGGGATTCTTTGGGAGCTCCTGAGTAGCTGATCTGAAGCCATCAGTTCCTGCCAAAATAAAACTTGAGAGAACCTGAAACCTGGACCAACCAGCTTTACCTAACCAATAAGAAAAGGATCAAGGTACACCAATAATACAAACAGAAGCAAACTTCAACTTAATTTTCATATCAGAATCACAAACAACAAAAGAAATTCACATGCCAAAATCACAACGAAAGAATAATAAAATGGAAAGCCAAAACACTATGTCCCCACCAAGCTCCACCAGTCCTGTAAAAGAGTCCCCTAGAGATAACCCAGGACACAGTACTTTCAAGAACAATCATAAACATGATGAAGGAATTCAATGAATTTAAAGAACACAGAAACAACTAAAAGAAGATAGGGATAAACTTCTGAAGGAATTCACAAAAGAGATAAACATTGAAGAAAACTCAGGCAGAAATGAAGAAGGAAGTGAAAAACTCAATAAGCCAACTTGAAACAACAGAGGAAAGCCTCACTGCTAGATGAATGAAATGGAAAAGAGAATATCAACACTGGAGGATAAAGTTGAAGAATTGGACCACTCAAGCAAAGAGTATGAAAAATTAAAAAAAAAAACAAACACAAGAATGGAATATGCAAGAGATGTGGAACACCATGAAAAGACCAAATCTATGTATCATAGCTATAGAGGTAGGTGAAATGGTATTGACCAGATCTTAAACAGGGTTGTAGAAGAGAATTTCCCAAAATGAGGGAAAAACATCCCCATACAAATACAAGAAGCATATAGAACACCAAATGGACAGGACCAGAAACCAAACTCCCCATGGCACATCATAGTAAAAACACTAAATGTACAGAACAAAGAGACAATACTGAAAGCAGCAAAAGAAAAACAACAAGTCACATATAGAGGAAAGTCCATCAGAATTACAGCTGACTTATCAATGCAAACTATGAAAGCTTGGAATAAGTCTGACCAAAGACACCAAAGATCTCTACAATGAAAATTTTAAATCATTAAAGAAAGAGATTGAGGAAGACACCAGGAGATGGAAGGACCTCCCGTACTCATGGATTGGAAGAATTAATATTGTGAAAATGACCATCCTACCAAAAGCAATATATAGATTTAATGCAATCTCAATCAAAATCCCCATGACATACTTCACAGAATTAGAAAAAGAACATTCTTAAATTCATATTGAAGCACAAAAGACCCTGGATAGCCAAAGCAACCCTGAGCACAAAGAGCAACACTGGGGGGATTACTATACTAGATATCAAAGTATACTACAGGGCTATAGTCATAAAAACAGCATGGTACTAGCACAAAAATAGACACATAGATCAATGGAACATCATTGA